TATTCGTCTGTAAAAGCCATTCAAAACGTTTTCTTTGCATTGCTTATCGAAATCGCCTTCGATTACTATCTAAAACAAGTAGTTAACCAGACTGAATGAAATTTGTTTCGTTTCTTTTGTTCGTCATTGGTATTCCTATGCACTATATGAAATACAATTAGAATGAAGTCAACAATGTAAAGATTAATAAACACTATCTTGAGGATGAGTGTGGGTTGGAGCAAGAACACCCACATCCACACCCTCAAATTAAAGTTATCGTATCAATTGTAAGTTTTGGTAATCATAATAAATTAATCTATAAGAGCAGAAAAAAAAGACATTTTTATTTGGAATGGAATATCAAAGTGTGATAATTGAGTAAAAATATGAAAGGAAACAGTTCACAGCCGTGATACAATAAGAATTCTTCTAACTAAAGTTTTGTTTGAGATTGGAACTACTTGAGAGAAAAAAAAATTGAAAGTTTATTTGTTTGAAATGATTAATATAATTCAGCACTATTCAATGTAATATATACAATGGCCCATCCACCAGTAACCAATACTTTTCCATTTGATAATATAGATGCTCTGTGATATCCTCGTGCATTCGTCATATTACTAATAGTTGTCCAAATACCTGTTGATGGATCATACAGTTCAACACTATTCAAATAACTATCAACACCATAACATCCACCAGTAACTAATACTTTTCCATTTGATAATACAGATGCTGTGTGATAATATCGTGCATTAGTCATGCTACTAGTAACCCAAGCAGACAAAAAATTTGAAAAACGCGTTTAAACGCTCAATCGAGAACCGCGATTGTGGCCCATTCACGCTGAATAATAAAACGCCATAAACGGCGTTTTGGGCGTAAAATCACCACTTTCTCAGCGTTAAAACGATGAAAAATTCCTTTTTTTACCGTTAAAACGCATGGGCTTTAAATTCTAGAATAAACACGTGTTTTAACGTTGAAAAAAGGAATTTTTCATCGTTTTAACGCTGAGAAAGTGGTGATTTTACGTCCAAAACGCCGTTTATGGCGTTTTATTATTAAGCGTGAATGGGCCACAATCGCGGTTCTCGATTGAGCGTTTAAACGCGTTTTTCAAATTTTTTGTCTGCTTGGGAATTGTCCAAGTACCTGTTGATGGATCATACAATTCAGCACTATTTAAAACACTACCACTATAATCAATTCCACCAGTAACTAGTACTTTTCCATTTGATAATACAGATGCTCTGTGAGAATATCGTGCATTAATCATATTACTAGTAGTTGTCCAAATGCGTGTTGATGGATCATACAGCTCAGCACTATTTAAATCAACATAACCAATGCCTCGTCCACCAGTAACTAGTACTTTTCCATTTGATAATACAAATGCTGCGTGAATATATCATATATTACTCATGCTACCAGTAGTTGTCCAAGTACCTGTTGATGGATCAAACAGCTCAGCAGTACTTAATATACCACCCTCATTCCATCCACCAGTAACTAATACATTTCCATTCGATAATACAGATGCTGTGTGTTCAGATCGTCCATAAGTCATATTGCCAGTAGAAAACCATCCTAAAAGTTACACTTTTTCATAATTTAAACAATATAATATTAGATAATCAAACAATCAACATTCATTATTCTTGTACAGTATTTTCCGTTCTTCTAAAAAAAATAGCCTTTTATATGTCTGTTTTTTATCACCTGAAATTTGTGCAGGCCGAGAATGGTAGTCAAATGTATTACACAAATCCTCTTTACATACCATTATCACATCTTCAACTTTCTATATTCTACACTTCTTCTGTTATCTCAATCATACATATAAGAGATGTTTGTCTCAAATGAACCACTATGATTATTAAACTAGCTCATATACTTTTCGATTCTCGACGAAGTTTACAAGTTTTGATCGAAAGCTATTCAATAGAATAACAAACATGAACTTCCCATTAACTCTTTTATTGCTCTCTGAATATAACAGTTGATGTAATCAAGTATTTACAACATGCGTTTTTACTATGATCAGTCTATAGGCATAAAAAGCTAGAACTGATATAAAACATGAACTAACGAGAAAATGAGTAATTAATCTCGAAGTCTGTGATAATTCACTGTCAAATCATTGTTAGTTCACACAAATTCTATTATTTAGTTATTCTCAACTCTATTCTTAGTAATGCTTGGTATCTTATCAAATGCTCTACTTCAATTTATTAGCACAACAATAATTTTTCATCAATTCCCTATTCATATCTTCTTATATAATGAACACTATTATAGAGAAAAACAAGCCCATACAAATATTCTGAACATGAGATAAAAGATAGATCTAAAGATGAAGGCCTAGTACTTAATGTTTAATTATATACTTCACGAGATCATCTCATCAATCAAGATAACATAAATGAGATGGGTTGGTGTGGATATAGTCAAAAGAGTATTTATCATCACCATCCGCCCACCCTTAAGATAGTTTATAAAGAAAACTATTTAAAAAATTTAGGAACGAGTACTCGTATAGATCTAAATTTACTATGCATGCAATAAATCTCATTGCATGAAATTTATTTATGCACGAAACAGAACTCACTACAAATTTAGAAGAATGGGATCCCAGTGAAAAATGTAGTTCGTTCTTATCCGTTCCGAGGAAGTGAATGTTTTTTTTCTTAAAAAAAAGGACATTTACTTCCTTGTAACGAATACGAACGAACCACATTTTTCGCTGGGATAGTTATAAAGAATGATTCCTTCTAAAAGTAATAGTTTGTATTATTGCTTTTGTCACACAGTAAGAGAAGAAAAGAACTATGAGCTAGATTCAATGGCGACGTTATTGCATATTTTACCCGGTGATTTTGTTGTTGTTGGTATTTTGGTGGTAGTCGTAATTTTTTGCGTTGTTGTTATAGCTGAATCAAAAATGATGAGTTAGCCACAAAATAAACTTATTTTAAAGAGGCAATATAATGAAATCACCCTTACTCTTTGTTGTGGATTTAGTTGTGCTTGTTGTATGTGTGGTTGTAGCTGTTTAGAAAAAAAAACAAATAATACTAAAGTTGTTATTAGAAATCTTTTTTTACTTGTAACAGTCTTTGGTGGACATATTTGTTTGTTTGCCATAGCTAATGGATAGCATACTGGTTGACCACATCGTGTACTATTCACACAGATTGTACTCTCGATTGAACAAGTTACATTATCTATATTACATCGTACAAGACTTGCGCAGGAGCAAGTAGTTGAAGCACATATCCCTATATTTGGATTGGATGTTAACGAAAAACAATCGCAGTCAAGATTCGATGAACATGATGTTCGTTGAGAACTGCATGCAGTAAAATTACATGTTGCTGTTGTTGTTGTGTTAACTAAGAAATAAATAATAAGAAAATAAAGAAAAATAAAATTCATTATTATTAATTACTTAGTTGTAGTTGTTCTGATGTGTTTCTATCGTTGAAGAAGATAAAAAAAAGAATACAACATGTAGAACTTGATAATTAATACTTACACTAAAAGTAACACATAGAATAAAACTATGAAGATCGAACTCAACATTTTCGCCATTGTGAGATACAATAGTATGAATTATTAAGTAAAGAATATTCTTCTCGTATTACTTTTCGTTACGTTTGTTCTATAAGCGCTGTGAAATAATCGAACAAGAGCCGACCAGCTTTACAGTTTCAAACTAAAATAATTTTGTTTTTAAACCATAAAATTCACTGCCTTTTAATACTTACAATCGTTGACTAAAATTTTAAGTGTGTTGGTGAAGAAAAAAATTGTTTAAAAATCTCAACTTTACTGAATTGTATATATGATGATTGAAAAGAAAAAAGAAAATGAAAGTAAACAAACCATGCTACTTCCTTTTTAACAAAAAAAAATATTGTCTCTGGCTGTTTGTTTTAATAAAAAGTTTTAACTAAAAAGAAAACTGTACAGCTCGAAATTTCCAACTCATATTTGTTTATTGATGTGGCATGAGTCAAGGCGATGAAATCATTTAGTTTACCTTCGCCGACCAAAATTCACCGAAAATGAGCTTCACCAAATCGATTCTCGTTGAATAGATTTATCAAGAAAAGCTGGGTGTGGGTGAGTAAGGGTGAGGTAGGTGCAGATGTGGATGTGGGTGAGGTGGGTGTAGATGTGAGTGTGAGTATGATTTTAGGTGGGTGTGGCTGTAGGTGTATGGTATCTACACCCACAGCCTCACTCGATACACTTTATCAATATATCCTCATAAAAATGTATAAGTTTTCATTAATTATCTTAATTATACTCAAAAATCAAATGTTAATTTACGACAAGACTGGGTGTGGGTGAGGTGAAGAAAAAACCTATTCACACCCTTAAACATAAAACTTCTTCGCAAGCGAGTAGTGCCTGACTATTTATTTTAATTTTAAATAATAATTAAAATGTAGCAATCAGCATGAAAAAATGAAATGCTATGCTACTCGATTGTTATGCGGAATGTTCGAATTTGCATTGGATTTAACATGATGTATGTATCAACCAATGAATGTTGTTCTATAAAAACAAAAAGATATTATATTCTGATAACAATTATGATTTTCCTTTCAATAAATTACTCGTAGAATTATTCGTTTGTAGTAATAGTTCATCGTTATCAGTTAACCAATGGAGTCTATTCATTTGAGATAATTCTAAATTAGCATCTAATGTTAACTCCAATATTTTCTCAATTATTCCAATTGATTTAAATATTGATTGTAAATCAATTTTAGTTGGATATGAATATTTTTCATCTTCATTCAATTCAAAATAATGTTCAAGACGAATAATATATTGTTTTTCATTTAATTGATCTAATGTTAATAAATGAATATTTGAAGGTAATGTATCGATTAATGCAGACCATGTTTGACGATATAAATTTGAATAATTCATATAAGATGAATTAATCAATGCAAATGTTACAAGTGGAGACATGAATAATTCTTGTGAATGAATACGATGATAAAGAGCATTTGTTTGAGGTGAATCAATATTAAGAAAATGTTTTCCACGAACGACAAGACCTTGACCAAATGCAGATTCATTCAATGCTTCACCAACACCTAAATTATCATCATACAGTAAACGCCGATGTATCATTAATTCAATTGAACCATCAAAAAGACTTGCACCACCTTCTGAACGATCTAAAAACAAAAAATTAAATTTAAAATTCTATATGATCAATATTTTATTCTACCAGTAAGAATAGTAAATTGTCGATTTGTTTCATTGATCCAAATACGTGAATTAACTGGATAATAATTTCCACTAACTGGTTCAGTAATTGTATAATTATATGTTGGTCGATAATTTCTTATTCGTTGAAGAACTTCTCGTCCATTTGCATCTGTATAATATTTTGATTGACTTTTAATATCTGTATCATATCGAAGAATAATTTCTCTTCCAATATTATCTTCAATTGGAATCGGACCTACTGTCCATTCAATTTCAATATCTTCTCCTTCATCATAAAGATTAATTTCTTGACTAATCCATTCATTAAAAATAATAATTGCTGTTTGAACAAGTTCACTTTTAATACATTTTCTAAACCACAATACTAATTGAAATGGAAATACAATGAACGTTTTGTAGATATTGGTTTTGCATCTTCTGTTACTGGTCGAAAGATATAAGCACCAGATGCTTGAAAATCAAATTGAGAATTATTACCAGAATAACCCTATAAGATAGACAATGATATACAACTCAACTTGATTGAGAAATGTAATATTAATATTTTTTTGAAGATTTATAATACGTTTTAGATTTCCTTGTTCATCAATTTCAATTCGAAGATTCTGTAAAGAAATCAAATAAAATATTTCATTTATTATTATTTTCTCTTACTTGATTTTGTAAAATACATATTTCATTTTTAGTTATTTCTAATTTTTCTTCTTCTTCTTCTTCATTCACTACAAAACAAAATCTCAAATTGAAAAGAAATACAATTAAAATCTAATTACCTTGAAAGAAATACGTATTAAAACCCAATGCTGGTAAATTATATTTAAAAATCAATTGATTTGTTGCATTACTCATTCGACCAGGTATTGTTTTCGTTGAATTTGAAATTGGAATTAACTCAGAGCGAATTGGTCCGCTAGAATCACGAACTGTATAAGATCTCGTAATAGGGACACGTAAATAACCAACAACTGGATGAATTATTGGATTCCAAAGTATTACTGTGAACTATTCAATCAAAACTAAATGACTATCAAATAACTATTTCTTTCTTGTTTTACTTGTTTTGCATTTTCAATTGGTAAACATTCACTTATATTTGTTAATTGACAAAGAAATTGTTGAATTTCTGTTGTTGTTGATTGATTATCTTTTGTTAATAGTTTTGGATAAGCTGTATTAATTACATTCTAAAATGATATCAAATAAGAATCAATTTATAATTAAAATATACAGACAAGTGCTGCATCAATTCCAATGGATAATCGTTGTGCATAATCATTTGCAACATGTTGTTTTTCTGTTCCACTAACAGCATCATGATGTTGAGCAATAGCCATTGCTTCACCTTTATGTATAATATTAAAATAATAAATGAATTAGAAGAAATTGATTTTTTACTTAAACTGAAGATTTGATTTCGTAATTGACTATTAGGAAATGTATTTAATTGTCGTATTACTTGTAAAATATTATTTGAATAACGTTCAAAACGTTTTAAAGCTGGTCGTGATGTAAAATATCCTGTCCAAAATCCATGTGGATGATGTGCATGTGGAAAAAAATCATCAGTTTTTGTTATCCAACTACGATTAACTTTATTTAATGCATATAAATAACAGGATGGAGTCGAATAGAAAACATTTACATTACTACCATTTATTTGCTTTAGTGAAATTCAATAAATTTTCATTTCGTTAAAATAGAAATGAAATATTTGATTAATTTATCTAAATTTTTATAATTTGCCAAAGTATTTTGATATTGAAAATTACCACCAAATGTCATTATAATATGATTAGTTGCATATTCCATTGATTCATTCTGAGCTGTTTGAATAAATGTTTGAACACGTTCTGGTACATTATAATCTGGTAAATTTACATCATCCTATAATAAATAGACAGATATGATATAGAACATATGAAATCTATTGTATAACTATGATCGGATCATCTGGTGCGATAAAATCAAACGAGAATGTTGCTGGAGTTGAATATCTTCGAGGTAAAATACCAGTAAATAACCAACTTTGACGATCTAAATTAGCACTTGCTTTCCAAATCATTTCCATTGATTTTGTTGTATTACGTTTTTGTAGATCTTGATAATCAGCACGACCAACAAATAAACCATCAAAACCCATCTAAAGATAATTTATATACACTTTTTTATATAAAAAGAATTGATTAACCTGTGCAAGAAGAGACGCTTGTTCACGTGAATGACCAAATTGATCATTTAGAAATTCCAGACCTAAACTATGTTGATCAATGATTGAATTATAATGTGTTGTTCCTTCATCCTTCATACACCAACCACCAGAAATAAATTCAAGACGACCTGAATTAACAAATTCTTTAACTTTATCATGAATTTTATCTGTTTGTTGAAGCCACCAACGATAAAAGAAAGCCATTTCAACATAGATAAATCGTCGATGAGGATTTTCATCTAATGCAAGAACAAGATGAACATTGAGTTTTACTGCATCACCCAAATTACATGTCTAATAAGATTTATTCGATAAAATCACAATAGAATATTCAAACTCACTTACATCATAACCACATTTATTCAATGATTTTACTGAATTTGTCAAAGTGATTATATTAGAAATTAATAGAGATAGGCAACAAATAAAAAACTTCATATATTTTATATCGTAACTTTATTATTCACACACAAAAAATGTCTCGTTTACATGTGACTATCTTCTTTGGTTTTATAATCAATCATAGATAAGGAAAGTTAAAATAAAGAAGATATTCTAATATAAGAACAAATCTTGTAATTAAACGATAGAATAGAAGAGCTGATGTGTGTATGTTAGAATTCTTTTTTAAAATATATTATTAAAGGTATTAGTTAATGTTCTAACTGATCAGATGATCAATATTTGTTCACTTGTTTATCGAATCACTGTTAGATATAGTATCAGCATCGTTAGAATTGACTAGGGTGTGGGTGTGAAAGTAGATATACCTTAGTACACCCACACCCACCCACACCCTCAAGATTGAACAGGTTTCACAAAAAATTGACACAAAATCAATGCATTATACATAGTTGGTCTTGTTTTTATTTAGATGAAATGAATATGAAAACACTTTTTATGATGTAATGTCATTCTTAAGAAATGAAGAAAATAAATCTAAACTTTTGATCGACACACAGGGCACTGGTCGCTTCCAACTAACCATGTTCCAATACATGATGAATGAAAATAATGACTGCAGTTTGGTAAACCATTCACTACTGCACCTTTCACATAAGTATCGATACAGATAACACATGAATAGGTCTCCTTATTAACAAATTCTTCTTGAATTGTCCAGGTAGGTAAGTTTCCTGTAGTTGTTGAAGATACAGAAACAGTAGCAGTAGTTGTAGCAGCACTAGTTGAACTTGAAGCGCCGTTGGCGTTCAACCTTGCTAAAGGATTCAATACTCCATTCCTACGCATTTGTTGAATTCGATCTTGTCGTTCTTTTTGATGTTTAACAAATGTACCTGAGGAAAAGAGATAAATAGAAAAAACATATTTTCTTGTGTGATTCGTGCCAAAGATAGACTGATCGAGTCCTTTTTGACTGTGTAAGAATTGATATGTCGTTTCAATAATGATTAAGTGTTTTCTATTTCGATCTTCTCTTATACCATAATAAAGACTCACTACTCGACTTGACTTGAGAATGTTCTAAAAACTCGATTGGAGAGTCCTGACTTACTCATCTCTGACTTTAACGACTACTTTTTCAACTCACCCTCGAAATTATGCCATGCCATCATAATACCTTCATCAGTGGGTAAACCATTTGTACCGAACACTCGTATTTCAACAACAAAGTCTGTATTAATTGGTCGTTTACCATCACTTCGACGATTACGTACACTCACTCTCAATTTTGAATTTGGTACTTCCCATTCATACATATGTTCACATGTAGTACTCTCAAAATCAGACCGTGAAATAAATTTAAATAAACCAACTTCCTTAGCTGGTTGTGTTGTGCTATCACTTCCATGATAATTAGCAATATTTCTTCCAGCAAGTTTGATTTCATCGTTTTTTTGTGAAATTTCAAAAAATTGTTCAGCTTTCAGAATGAGTGTACGTTTTTCACCGGATTGGATAACCTTTTTTAATTCTATATGCACATCATTATCAACATAAGTTAAATTTATATGTGGAGCATGAGCACCTGCACCACCAGGAAGTCGTACTCTGTTGCTATCATGTCGTCTTCTGTTGTAAGAAAATCGGTGAGACATAAATTTCGGCATAATTTTTGTTTAAATATTAAACTTCGTATGATATTTCACTTGAAATAATGTTTCAGTTTTGAGACTGTGATGAAATGTGTTTGCTAGATTTGTCTCGCCTTTTATATTCACCTCTTCTTGGGAAAAAACCCAACAAAAGTTAGTCACAACACGTCTGACTGCGTCTTTTTTTTGTTCCTTTCCTTCCATGCAAATATTTTTCTTTTTATAAATAAAACAAGTTAACAAGAATACTTTTTTCATTTTTATTTTTGAAGGCAAAAAGAAAAATAAATTATTAACAGAACATAAGAAGGAAAAATAAATAAAAAAATAATTGAGGAGTGGGAAAATGTAGAGGTAGTTATTTAACGGTACTATTTATTTGCTAAGTAAAATAATCGAAATGCTAAGTAGACTTTCACTACCTAAAATTTATATTTGCTCAGTAAATAATTTAAATCTAAGTAGAATAATTAGACGCTAAGTAAATATAAAGTTTCTCAGTAAAAAAAACCAATTGCTAAGTTAATAAATTAAAATCATAATAAAAAACTACATTTGGTCAGTAAAAATTTAATTAGTAAGTAATTTATTATAAAGACAAAGTAATTGTAAAATGTCAAATCAAAGTTTCTTTACTTCTATGATGACGTCTATATTTTTCCACACCCACACCCAAGATGCACTTGAAGCTACAAACAGGGTCATCAAAGATGAACACACATTTAGAGAACGACAACCACTTTCACGATTGTTTACTATTGCAAATGACATTGTACATAATTAGCTTAAATCTCGTAATCCAAATCAATCAGATCCAGTCGTGTTTTCAGCAGAACCAACGATTACACTTAAGAAATGGATCGATGCATATCATTTTGCAAAATCGTCAAAGTCAGTTTTGCAACAACCATCAAAAAAAAAAGGTTTTACTGATTATTATATACCATCTGGAAACGTAGAGAATGTTACAATAAATGAAATTCGTAAATATAATAGGTAGAAATGGACATCATTTGATCAATTTAAAGATATTCATTTTTCAATATGGAAGACAAGTTTACCAAACAATGTACTAGAATGGAAAAATGGGATTTGTAATTGTCCAAGTTTCTTCAAAGAATATATTTGCAAACATATAGTTGGCATGGCAATTAGGATGTGGGTGTGGGTATGAACTAAACACCTCTCCATATTAAAAGCCTTCGAGAGCTTCTAAACTATCGAGCGCTTAATGTTTTTGGAGAAGACCTCTGTTAGGTTCTAACATTTTCGAAAAGTTCAGGTACAAACATTTTTCTAAATTATTAACGGATTTTAAGAGTTTTCAAAGAGTTATCCGAAAGATTTCGAGATTTTAATACTGACTAATGAGAATTTAACAGATTTTTACTTAAAAAAATCCTAGAATTAATAAAATTTAACTATGAAAATACCAGTAAACATTTTTAAAAGATTCTTCAAAAATTCTTAAAATAAGGGAGATTTCTACCGCTTTTCAACTCAACTCCTTCAGGAGGTGTTTTTGTTACGATAAAACATGTCTTATCCTTTTCGTTTCTATTCTTCGTTTCTTCATTATATCCCTTATCTTTGTAGTGTCATTCTCCTGCAAAACTAAACGCATGAAGAATGATACTGTAGTAGTACTGAGACTAAATTAGATATTGAAATTATATATGTGGTTTTTCTATGATTCTATTCAAATATTTTAGACACTGATACTCATATTATTTTTTATTAAATAAGAAAAAAAAATTAGAAAAAAAGCAATAAGTTATAATTGAATATTTAAGCAGCACTGTCAGATAATGTATACTGAATTGTCGCAGCTGTATCCGAGGACCAATCTCGTGGTGTCGAATCTTCTTCAGTTGTTTCTAATGATAATGATATCTTTATTGTCATCCCTAATTGTAGAGTTGGTCGACCGGTATCTTTGTTAAGTAAGAATCCTTCAAATGGTGCTCGCATTTCAAATTCATTACCTTTTTCACTTCGAGAATAACTAATTATACCATTAAATGGTCCTGGTGCTTTGTCTTGAGTAAAACATATGTAATTGTTACTATATGGACGAGGTAGTCTATATGGTCCATCTAAACATCGTTTAATTTCACTTTTAGTTGGTTTATGTTTCCAATAAATGTATTCCGTGTAAGATTCATAAATTGCTGGACGAAATATAAACTGATTCCTTTTATTTTCATGTTTTAAATAATTTACTTCCGTGTTGTTATTAGCGGCATGATCGAGATAAACATCTTGATTAAATGAACCATTAAAAAATTCGACTTCAAAATTCCCATCAAATCCTGGTGCAGTTGGATGATAAGCACCTCCATGTAACCAATAACCTGTTGTATTATCATTATCAATATCAACTGTAGCTATTACATAATATCTTCCAGCTGACGATTGTGATGGATTATTTTTATCAAATTCATTTGCTCCAACAGAAGTCTTACCAATAACTCCACCATCAACTACACGATAATAGGCATATAAAGATGTATCATCGTGAGCTATTTTAAATTCAACTATATTCACATTTGGATTATAAACATGTGTTGGTATAGGATCTGGTTGAAAAGTATCTGCATCATGACAATCAGGAAATTTTAGGGAAGGAAACCATGGACTTCGATCATAAACTGTACCATCGATATTATCTTCTGGATCAGTATAAGATGGAACATTTTTCCAATCATCAAAATTACCATCAATTTTAATATTACGATTTATTGGATCAGATTTTACCAGATGAATTATCAGATAAATAAAGAGTATCTGCTTCAAAATACTCATAATTATTCCCAGCTGCTTGAAGAATTAAATCTAGAAATATTGAAAAGTGTGAGTATATATTCATATAGTGCTAATAAAGAAAAACATATAAAAAGAAGTGAAGTACGAGCACTTTTTATAGCTATACTGTCCTTTGCTATACTTATCTTGTCGACTCACAATCTCTTTTGTATGCTTAGTAAGGTGACTTGCAAGGCCATGTCCTGTATAACAAACACTATAATGATAAAAATGAAAATATTCGGTACTTTATATATCTGTTTCTGCTTACTCATAGCCATTTTGACCTATCCTTTTTTTTCTTTTCTTCTTCATGACTTATCTTTGCATTATTTTTCTTTTGCAAAGCTAAACATGTAAATAATACGAACAAACTATTCACAGGATGATGCAAGAAGTATGAGTTATGAATGTAAAAACACATCTTCATTCAGAACCATCTTGAGGGTGTGGGTGTAATAAAAAAAATACTCACACCCACATCCTCAATAATTTTCATAAAATAAAAACTATATCCTTCAATGATAAATGATACAAAAGAAAAATTATTGTTGTAATTTTTCATTATGTTAAACAAAGATGAGAAGACTTCTCGAATCATTTTCTTTTAAATAAATCGAATGATTTTATTTTATATGTTAACATTTATCTAACTATATAGGATTATGTATATCTTATTGCATGAAAATACATATTTTTTAATAAATAGTTATACAGTGATGAACAAGAATAAAGCGATTGAAGTTATTTTAAATATTTGTCTCGTCTATTAAGCTAATCGAGTTTTTAGGTCGTTTTTTTAATGATGATTTATAATAAAATTTTTGTACGACAGGAATAACTTTCGTTTTTTTGATATGTTTTCTTGATTGAAGTCTTTTACATATTGGATCAATACCAAAATAATATTTTAATATATCCATTGTAATAATAAATAATGCAGTACTTATCAAAAAAATAATTGCTATATATCCAAAAGATTTCGAAACTCTTTCAAGAGTAATGATCGTTCCTGATTTTATTTGACAATATCGACCAGAATAATTTTCAGTGACACAAAGACGAGCAGTCATCCTATTCCGCAATGTTGAACATTTCAGGAACCAGTTCCGCTCCGGAATCGATTCCGTTCAATTCCGGGAACTCGGTCGACACATAATATCCGATGCCGACTCGAAAATTGATCGAGTTCCGTCCAATTCCGGAATTGGTAGGAATTCCGTATAATTCCGGAATCGGTAGGAATTCCGTATAATTCCGGAATCGGTAGGAATTCCATGTAATCCCGTAATTAGAAGTAGTCCACGCAATTCCGGAATTGGTGGGAATCGGTAGGAATTCCCAGGAATTCCGTCCAATTCCACTGAATTCCGTCTTGATGCAATTCCCGGAATTCCGCAACGGAATTGGATCGTATCCAAACGGGATAACTTATCAACACAACACAACAAATGTGGGTGAGGTGGATGGTGTGATAACTTATCAGTACAACACAATAAATGTGGGTGAGGTGGATGGTGTGATTCCGGTGCGGAATTCCGGAATCAGAACCAATTCCCGCAATTCCGGAATCGGTGGGAATTGGTGGGAATCGGTAGGAATTCCCAGGAATTCCGTCCAATTCCACTAAATTCCGTCTTGATGCAATTCCCGGAATTCTGCAACGGAATTGGATCGTATTCAAACGGGATAACTTATCAACACAACACAACAAATGTGGGTGAGGTGGATGGTGTGATTCCGGTGCGGAATTCCGGAATCGGAACCAATTCCCGCAATTCCGGAATCGGTAGGAATTCCGTGCAATTCCGGAATCGGTGGGAATTCCGTGCAATTCCGGAATTCGGTCGAACTCGATCAATCTTGACTGGGTGTCTTATGTTGTGTGTCTATCGAGTTCCCGGAATTGGACGGAATCGATTCCGGTGCGGAACTGATTCCTCCAATGTTCAACATCGCGGAATAGGATGCATTCTCACAAAGACATGTATAATTCGATGATAATGATTGACAAACACCTTGATTATAACATGTTATATTTTCACAATAATTGATTTTTATTCCACAATGTACACCTTGCCATCCTTCGTTACAACTACAAGTAAATGTTGTATTTGATAATTGATAACATATGCCTAAAATGATAAAGAAAAAATTCTTTTTTATCTTCTTTATATAGTGGGAATATACCATTATATGAACAAGTACGTAATTGACAAATTCGGTAATCATATTGACATTCTGTACCGTTAAAACCAGATAGACAATTGCAATTATAACCCCGAATAGTAGTATTATCATTAATACAAGTACTATTATTTTGACAAGGTTGACGAATATCACATATTGACGCGGATGTATTACAATTAGAATTGATAGATAAAGGTGTTAGACAAGTAGGTAAAAAAATTGAAGATGTGGATTGTCCACCTATAAAATATCAAGACACTTTTAGTAATGTTATTATTTGTTATTGTATTTAAATATCCTATGTCGTCAAAATCGCTGTAGTTTTGACGATTAAGCACCGGTTGCAACACAGAAAGAACGACATTTTGTGATTGAAAATATTACTCTTCTATTTTTATTGTTCATAAGTAGACTTATTGATTATTACATACCATTTTGATAGGAAGTAGTTGTTGCTACAAATAAAGATTAGATTTAATAAACGTAATAAGAAAGTATAAAATATTGAATAGTACTTATGTTTAGATTTGTAGTTGATGTCAGTGTATCATTATAGACTATAACTTCATCTAAATAATTATATCTGATAATTTTATAAATATAGTTTTAAAACTTACCGCAAGAATTACTTATAAAAAGAAATTTTTGTAACCGTGAATTTCCAAAATCATCAACATAAATATTTCCATAACTATCAAAACTAAGACTCCAAGGTTGATATAATTCATCTAATATTGGAATAAGTCCATTTATACATCCTACTATACATCGATAACCATCAGCATTTGATCCAACTATACGTTGATTATTAGAATCCAAAATAAATAAATATCCATCAGCATCAAGTATAACACTAGTTGGACAATCGAATGTAATTATTTCATTCGATCCATTTCCTACTACGGTTCTCATGTTTGGATATTCCCCTTGTAGTAATTGTACTCTATTGTTTCGACAATCTGCTATGTACAAATTGAGATTAATATCAACAAAGATTCCTCGAGGAGTATTCAGCATATATGGTCCGGATCCAGCAGAACCGTTACCTGCGATAATAAGTGATGTATATGTACCATTATTGAATAATAGTACTGTATGAAAATCACTCATAGAACAATAAATATTGTCTTCGATGTCGACAAAAATACCGTTACAAGTACTATTAACAAGCATGGCAGGAGTACTACCACCTGCTCCATTATGTACCCATGTGTTTATGCTACCATTAATCCCATTGTTATAAACATAAACAGCACCGTTAACAGTGACAAATATAGCACCTGGATCACTTATATCAGGAGAATTATATGTTTGTGGACTCGCATTTCCTTCTAACCATACTAAAATATTATTAGAGCTTGTTGCAGACATATAAACAGTGTTGTTATTATTGATAAAGAGACCTTGGGGATATATACCAATACTGATACTATCCCCAACAGTTATAGCGTTAGGATTCCATGTTGCATTTGAACAAAATTTCGGTAGATTGTAAGAAATATCTATAACCAAAAAACAAAAATAAATGTATATTCTCAATTTCTTATTACACAATTCGATTATGAAATATTTAAGAATACAATGACATTTCGAGTTTTATATTTACAGAACAAATTCTGTTGAAACTTTTGTTATATGAATCTTTTTAAAGGAAAAAGAATCTGCGAATATAATGTAAAATCTATTTACCGCATGAATTTGTTCGCAGAATAAATTTTTGAATTCGATGATTTTCAGAATCGGCAACATAAAGGTTTCCATAGCTATCAAAACTGAGACTCTGGGGACTATGTAATTGATTCGACGCTGTACCTGGATGATATGTACATCCAAATAAACAATAAAATCCTGATCTTGCTGATCTTATAATACAATGACCATCGAAATCTGCTATAAATAAATATCCATCAGAATCAAGTATAACTGCTATCGGTTTCTTGAATGTGAATGTTTCTGGTGCTCCAGTTCCTGCTATGGTTGTTGCGTTTGATTGTCCTGGTTTAAATAATTGAATTCTCGCGTTTCCAGAATCTGCTACATACATATTCAAATTGATGTCAACAAAAATCCCTCGAGGGTGACGAAGCTAATTTGCATTATTTCCGCCAATACTAGTACCTGCAGCAATAGTCAGCGTACCATTCTCAAGTGATTGTTTAATCACGTTATTAGTTGCATCGATGGAACAATAAAGATAATTGTTGATATCGATAAAGAGACCATAACAAGCATCAGTAATATTCATGACTGTAATACCATTTATTGTATTTAATGTCCATTTATCTACTTGACCATTAAACTTACCATTATCAACATAAATATCACCATTTATCGAAGGAAAAACAGCTTGTGGTGTAATCAAACTATTAGAAATCCTTCTTATTGGAGTTGCATTACCTTCTAGCCAGACTTGAACACGACTACCATTTCCTTCTGCTATATAAATAGTATTATTGATATCAATGGAAATGCTATAGGGTTGTCGGCCAATTGTATTACTATTAGTAAATGTTATCGCGTTAGAGTTCCATGTTACCGATGGACATAATTTTGGTTGATTAATGGAAAGACCTATATCAAGTAAAACCCAAATAATAAATCCTTTTAAGGTTTACTAGTAGCAAAAAGAGGGAGTCTAAACAACGTCAACATCTGTGAGGATCTTCTCTCTTGAGATAATTTTATATCAGTAAAAATAATTATTTACCTAATCCTTCAACATTCATCAGTAGAACAGTCAAAAAGAAAATTGTGTTATATAATGCGTTCATTTTTCTTTTTACTTTTTTGATTATGATTCAATGAACAGAGAATTGATCATAGAGTATTTTTCCAATATGAAGGCGTTTTTTTTACTCGATAACCAGGGACAATATTAGTTTTATTATTGCGTATACTTATATAAATGATCGGAACTTAAGTAAACTTAAAAAACTATCCGTAAAAATCACTACAAAATAAGAAAAAAAATATTCTTATTATTTTATAATTTCACATATATTAACACTTTTTTTGTTCACAAATACTCGACGAAGAAATCAATAAATTATGAATAATTAACATTCTTCGGAAAAGTGGATCAAACTAAAGAAAAGAAAACAATTGAAATATATCACCAATTCTCTTACCATCTAGCTCTTTGTTTTTCCATTATATCAATACTTTATGCAGTGAAATTCGATTTTACTATTTTATTCAGAACCGTTGGTTATTAATTATTCTTATTGAAGATTTTATGAGAAAACACTCGTAGAATAAAATAAAAAAATTCATCGCTATAGAATTTACCTATAGTAAAATATTCCTTGTTGCAATTACTTTGGTTCATTTAGTGCGAGTAACGAAAATAGAGTTTCATTTATTTTTATTAGTCATTATGCATAGCGACGTCTTTGATATCAATGAACTAGATAGTGAATAACAACAACAAAAAATTTCAATTTGTTTACGATAATTTAAAATCTCGTTATCAATCTTATTTAGAATATAAATCAAAATTAGAATTAAACAATCTAATAAACGACGAAGTAGAAGAAAATGAATGGTAATTTGAAATATATAGATTTCTTCGTGCTAAAAAATGAAATTTAACACAAACTATTACATCTATTCTTGAAATGACGAAGTGTAGATGCGTGAACACAACACACTACTGATAACCACCCACACCCACAAGATATTTCTCTTATTCAATATTTCTTTTATTAAAAAATTCGGTTAATGAAATCCCATACATTTCATATTTATCGGTAAGAAGCCCTTATAAAAGTACATTTTTTTACACGCATACACATCTTGAAGGTGTATAATTAATCACTGATTATTTTTCTTCTTTGTAGAATCAATAATATAGCAATATATCAAAAGAATAATATTTTTTTTATTTTAATAAAAAATCAGAAATTTGAATTGAGGGTGGTAGATGAATACAGTATCCATACCCGCATCTGCCCTCAAGAAAAAATAGACATAGAACAATTCATATATTTATTTAATGAACAATTAGATATTTTCTTCCGATTCTATCTGTGAATTGCGTGCTTCAATATTGTTGTCAGGTTCAATTCGATTATTTATGGAGCAACACCAATATTTCCATCGTTGCCAACATTTTTTTACTAAAACAAGTCTCGCTTGACGACGAAAACGTGATGAGAATATTATAAAAATATAAAAGTTGATCTAAAATAAACCAAAATCTTACAACTATGCATTAGAAAAGAAAATTTACTTACTATATAATTTATAATGTAGATAGAAGAAAAAATTACTTGAATTAATCGACCAATTGCATATGCCATAGGCATACTTTGTGATATAGGAAAATTAATGGCATAGATACGATAAGCATTATAAGGTAGTGTCAAACAAACAAAAGCTATTACACGTGTAAGAACCATTGCTGTTATTTGTTTGTCTAATTTACGACGTACAATTGGTAATTGTCGTCGGACTATATGGCGAACATTATGATAAGCTAAGATACTAAATGATGATGCAATTATAATAGGCAGGAAACCAATTAAAATCGGATAAAAGAAAAATGTTGAATACTGAATCCATACATAATTCGATAAGACACATCCCAGTGTTGGTTGAATATCATAAGAAGAGCCAAGTAGAATGCTATGAATGATCGCAAAACAAATGAATATAGATGAAACATATCGACCTAGTTTCAATGTACACATTTGTCTTAAATTAAAACGATGATTGGTCGAAAAGAATTGATCAACAACAGTGAAGCATATCATATAAATTGTAGTGAGCGTACATATTTGTCCCAATATATATCTTAATTTACACCAAATGAAAGAACGTCCTGTAGCATCATCTCCATATATTGATGTTAACATGGTTGTGCTAAGTAATGAAAACTGATAAATGAAGTTGGAAATTGATTCAATAGTTATATAGAATGCACATCGATTAGTTCGAAATTGTTTCAATTGAGTAAAAACGAGAAGATTCAACACATTACCAATAACTCCAAAACTAAATATAATAAAACCACTATAAATCGAGTATTGTGTAGCAAATTTGAGAATTCCATCAGATACGGACGACGATGACATATCTCTTTATTATTTGTGTTTTTCTTCTTTTCTTTGAAGATTTAACATTTAATATAGAAAAAAATATGAATCTGTTCTTGGCATTTATGTTTTATGAAGCATCTTAGCAGAAATTATTATCACGATTGATAATGGAAGTCTTTAATTACTAGTCTGGTAATGTTTCTTTTTTCATAGAAAACTTTTTATATCTACCCAAGTCATTCAATCTCACCTGTAAACCCTACGAAAAAGTATCGAATTCGATGGCTGATTTATCTGAAACGCGTCGGGTTCTTAATAAAAACCTGCCGGTACCAAATGAAATATTATCGGATTTTGAACTGGATAACGTCGAAAATTTATTGGATTTGTGTCGATCGGAGGAAGATTATATAAAAATTCCTCCAGCACTATTATTCACTATTTTCTCAAGATATTCAAAGATTTTATCAAGGTTTTTACAACTATTTTACTAAGATTTTAAAAAGTTTTTTCTCTTTTAGCTCGATTTAATCCTATAATGGCACAATATATATATACCAGAATTATTTCTAGAACCTGTCAATAATATATCTACGATTATCTCCAGTCTAGAGGTTTAGATTAAAAAGGTTGTCAAATGTAGTTAAAAAAAGACTTGTTTATGTCGCATGCCAGTTTAGAATTTAGTTGAGATAGCAATTCTTTATTATAGCGTAAATGTTGTGATAAACTAATTTACATGAATAAATCTTTTCTGTTTTTGAGGATATGAAATTATTTGCTTCAGTATGTAATTTCAAAGGCTTCGATGTTTTTTTGTATGTTGTTTAAGAAAAAAAGATTTGCAAGAGATGTTTATTTTTTAATGCCTAGAAAATTGTTTGATTTTAGAAGTTTTAATGTACAGAAAATATTTTTTTTTGCTTTGTAAGAAATACTGTTGAGATTTTTTCAAATATCTGAGAACTAATATACCGAATGTTCCGAGGATATTACTCAATTAGTAAATGAATTTTGTACTGAAGCTATATTTTCGTTATATTATTTGTTTTTTATTATCTTGATTCATATATCTATCTAAAATAACTGAAAAAGAAAACAAACTATTCAGCATAGTAATAAAAATCTAGATCTTTTCATTACGGAAATATATTCAAAATCTCCAATTTCTATAGAAAGTATATCTTACAATTAGTATGCAAATCAGTATAATTATCGAAGGATTTCTTGTGTACAATAAACATTTATTAGTTGACGTTTTGATTTGCTTCTTGTGTTACATTCTGTTTATATCACAAATAAATGATTAAATTAGAATTTAGTAGAATAAAATGCATCTAGTTTAAATATGAACTTCATATAAAAAGGCTAACCAGAAAATTTCTCCAAGGGATATCTGACCTATGAAGGGAAATTTGACTAGTAGAAAGACGATTTTGTTTCATGAAATCATTTCTATTCATGTATCTTCATCATATGTTCCTAAGTAGGGACTACAATCGTACGAAATCTTATAAAAAATCTGACAATAAAATACTATATGATCTGTGAATATGATCAGACAAAAAAACTTGTATGGAGACAATCTTGTATGTCTTGGCGTCTTTCTTTTTTGACCTGGATAAAGAAAGAAAATGAAAAATCCTTATAACAAACTATTTACATTTTCTTCTTCTTCTTGCGAATTTACTATTGGTGGCAGACGGCAACAGAATATAGAATAATTTTTATTGTTTAGTCATGATTATCTTTATGCTGGTCACTCACATGTCTTCTATGCATAAGAACGAACGAAAATTAACGAAATACATAAACAAATATGTTAGGATGCTTTCTTCTCATTCATATATATATGCTCACATACACATGTTTCTTTTCTCTGTTTTTTCCTTTCTTTACATTTCAAACTGATATAAAAGTAAATTTATCGAATGTTTTCTATCATCTTACTATTCGACTGGTGAGTTAGGCACCAAAGGTCTGCCACCATGTGTGGCAGTCATTATTGTATTTTCTAATCGCACTGTGCTCGTCGAACATCGATCTGATCATGAATTATATGATGAAGGAGATGAACTCGACGCAACAGATTTCTTTCATGATATTGTCAATAGTATTAAAAAAATGGGAAAAGAAAATTTAAATATTCGGTAAGTCAGTTCTTATTAGTAAATATCGAACAGAATATTTTTTCCCGTCTGATTATTTCCTGAAATAAAGAGGAAAAGAACGATATAAAGTTTATTGGCCATTGAATTAACAAAATATTCTAAACTAGAAGTATATCATGATTTTACTAGTAAAACTTGATAGTCAATAGCAACTGTTCCTCTTAGTTTATCTAAAAGTTGTTCGAAAAGAGCATAAAAAATTGTCTTCTTGTTAATTTAGTTATGTTTTCATTATCAATGGTTGTGATGATACAATACGAAAAGATTTTTAAGATTATTTGATATTGGTCCGTCAGAAATTTCTCAATGAAGATAAACATGAATCAAATCCATTAAATTCACTACTGTTATGGTTGTATCGTGCAATGAAAATTTTCAAAGTAAGTTGTTCAGTAACAGAAAAAGATGAATATAACAAGAATGAACAATTTATCGATGTTTTAATTACACATCAACAGAAAGATGGTAGTTTTTATTTTTTCGTTCGACAATGTGTTCATTAAGTCGATGAGATTACAGAGGAAAAAAAAGCAATTTGTTGTGATTTTCTTCGATACAAATTGTTTGATGATAATCATACAAATTTACACGAAGATAACTTATCATTACTTGGCGCTGAATTTTACGTTGACAACAACATTACTGAATAACATAAACAAGGTAAAATGTCAATTTTTTTAGTAGTATATTTCTCAGTACATCTCTTATATTTTAACATATTCATGATAATTATAAATTCGTTTATGAATAAGAGGATGTAGGTGTGGGTGTGCGTGAGGATGGGTGAGGGTGTGGGTGTGGTTTCGGTTGGGTATGTAAGATGGTAATATATTCTTAACGCTAACACTCACACCCACATCCACACCCACACCCACACCCTCAATATATTTCGCCGTCCGGAATCGAACAGGAACCATCCGATTTCTGTGATCTATTTACTTTTACAGTCGGAGATCATACCATTAGACTACAGCGGGATGCTATTTCTTTATTTACTTCTCAATATGTGAGCAATTGACAAGTTTGAGACTGACTTCGATGAGAAATGCATTATGAAACGAACAATCCATTGAGGAATACTTATTTCCAGCAACTATGAAAAAATTCATCATTATTATGAGTTCGATCAAAATTTCTATTCTTTATCACTCTTTCTTTTATTTGCATCCATTGTAGTATTCTTCAGATAACGACACAGTTGTAAATCAGTTATCACACTCACATCAAAACAATAAAAAATATCGATCATTTTGTATGCTAACGATTGTTGTTGAAACAAAACATTGTGTTATCCGAATTCTATTGAATATTTAGAGAGAAATAGTGATTTATAGTACCACAATTGTCTCGATTCTTCAGTGACACTTCATATATGGCATTAGAGTTGTTACTATTTACTCAATCATAAGTCATTTATTTTTCTCTATGACGATAATAATAGATATGATCATATTGTTCTCGTGAACTACAGAGATAAACAATCAATTAATATAAAATTTATGGATAAATATTGTATTGTCAACATATTCGTGTATAAAATGCATCTCTAGAAAATAATTCAATCTTATTCAAATTTTGAAAGATTATTTTTCTTCGATAAAATATTAGAAGAAAGAAAAGGCGTATTACCAACTTAGTTTTTCTAATATAATCATGGAGATGCTATTTTTTATTTCCATCATTGTTCTATTCAAATGCAATTCTCTTTTTCTGAAACAACGTAGTTCATATTATTATGATTATAATAGAGTCTACATGATTTTATAAACGCTCTGTCTCTTGTTTTGTGTACATAAAACATCAAAACAACATACAATAAATAAAAGAAAAATAAGGGAAACATTTACTCGAGGAATTATTTTTCATTAAGGAAAAAAGTACATTAGAATGTGTTGCTATGATAAATCAATATTTAACTAACTTGGAATGGTAAAAATACTGTTTGTTTTAATTTGTCTAATAAATAGAATGGTAATACTGCTATATAAATATAAATACCAATTGTCTGGATCATTTTCAGATCGGGTGTGGAATCTATAGTTTTATTTTCATGTAGTGATTAAATATTAAACGAGAGAGTTGGAGAAAATGAAAGAAAAGAAAAACGGTAATGTTAATAACTAAAATACTTTTAACAAAAAAGTTTAAAACGTCAAGTCATAAAAGATGTTTTGGATGTTTTTTGTTTTACTAGTAATTTCTACTGGTGATTGCATTCTTATCGGTAAAATAGATAATAATATATTGATTGGCAATATATCTAAATCATTATGGAATATAACGCAAAGTCAGTGTATATGTGAAATGATGAATTCAAATGGAACAATATCGACATTAAATTACTTCTCAATAAATCAAACTTGTCAATTATTTTATGCAAACTGTACTTCGATCTTCATTGAATTTAATCTCAATTCTTCTTTGATATTTATGAATCAATCAGCAATATTCATAGCACAAAGTAAATATATTATATAAATACTGCAAAAATATCATAGTTTTGCCATGATTGAACGACATATATTTTCGGTACAGATTGTATTAAAAGAAATATTACTTCGTTTTGCTATCTAACGAGCTCAACATATATGGAAAAATGTAGTAAAATTTCTTTTTTCCGGTGAAAATCTCACCTTTTTTAATTTAGCAAGCTAGACGTCAGAGAAAAATGTTAATATCTTGAGGGTGTGGGTGTGGGTGTAGGTGTGGGTATGACTTCTCTTAATTCATACCCTCCCTTCCACAGATAGCCATACCCACTCTCAATAATGCCACTGAAGCTTTGTGATAAATTTAGCAACTTTTGACCACTTACAGTCGGGAGTTGCCAAAAGGCAACATTTTCCCTTTTTTTATTTTATATAC